TCCGCCATCGAAAACCGACTAGGGTCATTCTCAGCAGACCCCACCCAATACATTAAGGAATTCCAATACCTCGCCCAAGCCTACAGTCTCACATGGCATGACATTCATGTGATCCTCACCTCTACCCTCACCCCTGAGGAGAGGGAGCGCATCCAGGCCACAGCCAGAGAGCATGCAGAGCAAACCCACATGACCGACCCCACTATGCCCATAGGAGCCGATGCTGTCCCAGCGGCCGATCCCGATTGGAACTACCAACATGCAGGCAATGGTCACTGGCGCCGGGACCAGATGATCCAATGCCTACTAGCAGGCATGAGGGCAACCTCAAACAAATCAGTCAATTTTAACAAACTTTAAGAAATAATACAAGACCCCCCATGAAAACCCCGCAGCCTTGCTTAGCCGGCTCACAGAGGCACTTACCCAACATACCAGATTAGACCCTACCACCCCCGCCAGGGCCACGGTATTGGCCACCTATTTTATTTCCCAGTCAGCCCCCGATATTCGAAAAAAACTAAAAAGGGCCGAAGACGGCCCTCAAACCCCTATGGCCGACCTGGTAAAGATGGCTTTTAAAGTTTTTAATGGTGAGAGGAAGCTCAAGGACAACAGTGACAGGCCCGTCTCCAACAAAAGGTACAATTACAAACCCAAGCCTTGGTAGCTGCCCTGAGGCCAGCCGCAGTAAAGCCGTCTGGACCACGGCCCCTCCGGGGCTTTGTTTTAAATGTGGCCAAGAAGGCCATTGGTCTCGTCAGTGTCCCCATCCCAAAAAACCTACCAGTCCATGCCCATTGTGCCAGCAAATGGGCCACTGGAAATCCGTTTGTCCTAACCCAAGGGATGACAGACTCGCAACGCCTCCACGTGGCAAGGCTTCACCCGGATTGGACTCTGCCTTCCAACTGCTGGAGATGGAGGATGACGACTGACGAGCCCCAGACTCAGTAACTCCGGTGACCCACGCTGAGCCCAGGGTAAAACTCCAGGTAGGGGGTAAGTCCATTTCTTTCTGTTGGACACGGGGCTACCTATTCCATCCTGCCGAGCTATTCCGGCCCCACCACACCATCCTCCGTTTAGGTCATGGGCATAAATGGCACCCCCTCCATTCCCCCATGCACACCGGTACTCACCTGCTGCCTGGATGGCCTCCACTTCTCCCACTCCTTCCTAGTCATCCCCTCCTGCCCCATCCCCCTGTTGGGCCGAGACATCCTCAGTAAATTAGGAGCCTCTATACATTTACCAGCTATTTGATCCTCTCCCTCCCCCACTCATCTCCTACTGGCTGTTATCACGGACGACACAGACCACAGCCTTAACCCACACCCAGACCTCCCAATAGACCCAATCGTATGGGATACATCCACCCCAACAATCGCCACCCATCACCAACCTGTCCTCATTAGACTCAAAAATCCATCACAATTCCCATCTAGACCCCAATACTCACTCTCCCACACCCACCGACTAGGCCTGAAGCCCATCATCGATTGCCTACTCAAGGAGGGCCTCCTAATCCCATGTCATTCCCCCTGCAACACCCCAATCTTGCCTGTAAAAAAGCCAAATGGCTCATATAGACTAGTTCAAGACCTCCAAATAATCAATGAAGCTGTAATTCCCATCTATCCAGCAGTGCCCAACCCATATACCCTCCTCTCCCAAATCCCCCCATCCACGACCCATTTTACAGTGCTTGATCTCAAAGATGCCTTTTTCACCATTCCCTTACATCCTGAGTCCCAATTCCTCTTTGCCTTCACATGGCAAGATCCAGTCACTTCTCTGGCCTGCCAACTCACATGGATGGTACTTCCCCAAGGATTTCGTGATAGTCCCCATCTCTTTGGGCAGGCCTTGGCCAGGGATCTCCTCAAAGCCCCACTGTCCAGTCACTGTACTCTACTACAGTACGTAGATGACCTTCTATTATGTGGAACCTCTTTCGACCACACCAACAAGATAGAGTCCAAATCCTAAATTTCCTGGCTAACCTGGGGTATCGAGTCTCCCCACACAAAGCCCAAATCTGTACTAATACAGTCACATTCCTGGGAGTCTCACTCACACCTCCTACCAAGGCCCTAACCCAAGATCGCCTCCAAGCCCTCCAGACCCTGTCCCCACCTACCAATGCAGACGAAATCCTCTCCTTCCTGGGTCTAGTAGGCTTCTTCCGACACTGGATCCCTAACTTTGCTATACACGCAGCTCCCCTATACAAAGCAGCCAAAGAAACCCCCCAAGGCCCACTCTCCAGCCCGGGAGCAGTCGCAGGGGCCTTCCAATGCCTGGTCACATCTCTAGCCACTCAACCAGTCCTTTCCCTCCCTAATGTTTCAAAGCCTTTCCTCTTATACACAGATGAGAGGGCTGGAATTGCAACAGGGCTCCTAACCCAACTGTGTGGCCCTAAGTTACAAGCTGTCACCTACCTTTCTAAACAAGTGGACCCTATGATCAGGGGGTGGCAACCCTTCCTTAGAGCACTTGCAGCAGCAGCCACTCTAACCCAAGAAGCACTCAAACTCACCCTACACTGCCCCCTAACGGTACTTTCATCGCACCATCTGATCTCCTTACACTTAAGGCCCTGGCACACCTCTCCCCATCACGCATACAATTGTTCCATCTGCTCTTTATTGAAAATCCTGAAATATCTCTCCAACTCTCCCCCAGACTCAATCCTGCCACGCTACTTCCGCAAATCAACCCCAAAGACACTTCACAGCCACCCTTCACTCCTGCACTGAACTTATAGATATTCTCTCCAAACGTCCATCTAACTTAAAGGACCTTCCCCTCACTTCCCCTGATCTCACTCTATTTGTAGACGGCAGCTCACTAGTTGACTGCAGGGCCACCGACAAGCAGCGTACGCTGTAGTTACATTAAACCAAACTCTAGAGACCCAGACACTACCCACAGGAACCACATCCCAGAAGGCTGAACTCACAGCCCTCATGAGGGCTCTCCAATTGTCCAGAAACAAAAGGGTCACAATATACACAGACTCAAAATACGCTTTCCTTATTGCATATACACACTCCCATTTATGGGAAGAAAGAGGATTCCTCACAACTAAGGGTACCCCCATCATCAATGGGCTACTCATAGCGAAACCCCTTGAGGCCCTCAAGCTCCCACAGGAAGTGGCCATTGTCCACTGCAAGGGCCATCAACCCCTAACCACAGAGACAGCTATAGGAAATCACAAGGCTAACAACACTGCCAGACAAACAGCTCTCTCTCTCGACCCAGTTCCTATGGGCATCCTCACCGAAGATACAACTCGCGATTGTACCCCAGATGAACAAAAACAATACATGGCCCATCCCGATGCCCACACCAACGCAGGCTGGATCATGCTGGGCCCCCGACTGGCCCTCCCAAATAGCCTAGGCCCTTCCCTACTAACAAAAATCCACAAAACCCTACACATTGGGCCGGAGGCCACCTTCCGCTTCCTTGAGCCCATTATGTACCACCCCCACCTACGACAACTGATCGCCAACAATGCACTACATGCACCACAGTCAGTTCCCAAGGTAGGATGAGGCACCCACGCCCCACTCATCAGATGTGGGGCCATCTCCCAGGCGAAGACTGGCAAATAGATTTCACTCACATGCCAAAACACAAAAAATTACGGTATCTCCTTACTATAATTGACACATTTATAGGGTGGAAAGACAGAAGTCTTCCCCACCTCATCTGAAGGAGCCTCCACAGTGGCTGAGATCCTACTCAAGGACATCATTCCCCGCTTTGGTCTACCACGAAGGATACAGTCTGACAACGGGCCTGCTTTCATCTCAGCAGTCACCCAACAGGTCTCCAAAGCTTTGGGTATTACTTGGAAACTCCATATACCATACCACCCCCAGTCCTCGGGTAAGGTTGAAAGGGCCAATGGCCTCATAAAAGACCATCTCACTAAACTCTCCATAGAGACTCGGCTTTCTTGGCCTCAACTCCTACCTATAGCACTCACCCGACTCCGAGCCACTCCCCGAGGACCCACAGGCCTCAGCCCATTTGAACTCCTATACGGGCGACCCTTCCTGTTACCCCAACCCCTACCAAAAGATCCTCCTCCTTTGGCTGCCTATCTCCCTTACCTCAGCCTGCTCCGACACCTGATTCGACAGTACGCTGACCTCACTCTATCAGCTCCCATTGATCTCTCCTCTCCCTCACTATCTGTAAACCCAGGAGACTCAGTGCTCCTTCAAGTAAGACAAAAACCAACCCTTGCCCCCCAGTGGGAGGGTCTCTACACGGTCATACTCACAACCCCCACGGCTGCTAAATTATTGGGCCACACCCCGTGGGTTCACACCTCTGACCTCAAACGGGCCCCCCCTTTACCCCCTATACCAGAAGAGTCGTGGACCTCCCAACCAACCGGCCCCCTCACCCTCAAACTAACCCAACAGGCCCCTTCATGACGGACCCTTCCCCTTGGTTTTCCACCTTCACACTCACAATATTACACAAGCTACAACTCTCCCACTCATCGGACCCCATCGCCCTCCCCTTATTTCTCTCCTGGGTCTCTGACTGTTGGCTTCAGGGACTCTCTCCGATTTCTCCCCCATCGAAATCTCCTTCTTTACCTTTTTACTAACCATACTTATATATCATGATGATACTTCCCCATTACTCCTTGTTAACATCATCCCCCTTATGCGCTCACAACCCTCCTATAGGTGGGTTTTTTTTACCTATCTGAAACGTTTAATGGACACACCTCTATCATATCCTCTACCCCTTGCCCCATTGTTGGGTGCCAAAATCAAGTCACCTTTAAATTTCCCTCCTTCAACACACTCCAAGCCTCTACGCGGATTACTCCCGCCATTTGCTTTTTATATGACCAGACCGGCAAAATATGCTCCCAGACCTCCCCCAACCAATATGGAGGATGCCTCTATCACTATTGTAACATACACTGGCTCAACCTATACTGCTTCACAGGGCCAAGGATGGGCCGCTTCTGCTTAAAAAATGGCAACTTTACCCTTACTGTCCCTGATCCATGGGATCCCCGCTGGCAAACCAGAATAAAGGGCAAACTGTATCAGAATGGCCACTTCTCTAACCCCATCTCCTCTTTAACCATCTATCGAACTTATGAGCCCTCTATGTCTCCTTCCCTCTCCAACCTTAAAGCTCTTACCCAAGTAATCATGGACCAAGAAGACCAGCTCAACACACAACTACAGACACCCCCTGCACAACATCCCTTCTCATGGCTTACATTGATCAGACAAGGAGCGATCCTGCTTAACCACTCAGGCTTAACCAACCTGTCACACTGCTTTCTTTGTGCATCCCTTCAGCAGAATCCAGTAATAGCCGTCCCATTACCCACCCCCTTTCCCAACACCACTAACTCCATCAACCACCCCAGAAGTCAAATCTCCCCACAGATTCCCATCCTCACTGAGATCCCTCAAAGCAACATGTCTCACCCACTATGCTACTCCTCTCATGCCTCCCCAACTTGCCCCTCCCCCCTGCCTATGCCTAGCCACAACCCTCCCCCAGGGGGATTCTATTGGTGTAATGGCACAGCTTATAAACAAATGCCCAAAAATGCTTTTATCTGTCTCCCAGTCACCATTATCCCCCAATTCACCCTACACGGACAGGAAGAACTCCATCAACTCCTCAAATTCCATCTCCAAAAATGAGCCTTTTTCCTCCCACTAATGGTCGGACTATCCCTAGCCATGTCCCTATTGGCCGCCGGGGTTGGGACCGGCTCCCTCGCACACTCCATTACCTCCTCCAGGGACCTGTCAAACAGGCTCCAAATCACAATAGAAGCCTCAGCAACCTCCCTATCCACCTTACAAAGGCAGATCAACTCCATAGCACAGGTCACTCTATAAAACCGACAAGCCCTAGATCTCCTAATAGCAGAAAAAGGGGGAACATGCCTGTTCCTGAGGGAAGAATGTTGCTACTGAAAGGGTGGACCTACGCCAGCTGACTCCATCTTGTTCTGTGTCCTCCACCTTGAGTGACTATGTCCCCAACATGCCCCCTTTCCGGGAAAATCGCAGAAACCTCAGACCACGCCTCCTCCCCTTGAGTAAATTCCCGATCAAAACACACCCAGCGACCTGCGTAACAGGACTCCGACCCTTCCCCAGCCAATCGGCTGAGGCCACAGCCATTACCTCACCAACTACCCCTAGACCCCTATAAAACCTTTGTGCTTTTGAAACTCGCTCTCTCTCTCCGGTATCTCACCGCTGCGTGGGTGCAGGTAGGGGATTGAGCTCAAGCTAGCTCGAATGAAAACTCTTTTGCTTTTGCATCAGACTCAGCTCCCTGGTGGTCTTTGGGGATCACGGATTCCGGGCATAACATTTGGGGGCTCACCTGGGATCCCCAAGACCCCCGAGGGACCCCCGACCCGGAGAGCCTGACTGGCCACGGTTAGTGTCTGTTTGTTCCATCTTTTCTGTGTGAGCTCATTTCTGAAATCGGTTTTGGAGGGATGTGGAATCCCCTCATCTGGTAGTGCCTGGCACAGTCTAAGTGGACGCACTGGAGGACCACGGGCCAGGAGTTTTGGAAGACGTTCCGATCCTCCCTTCTGGAGGGACGTGGAATCCCCTCATCAGTTTTGGAGGGACGTGGAATCCCCTCAAAGGTCTGAGCTAGCTTTCAGTTTTGCTTCCACGGAGTTGGAAGACTGTTTCTAAGGGCCCTCTGTTTGTCTGTTTCTGTGTTTCTCTGTTTTGTTCTGTGGACTTACTGGACGGATGTTATGGGACAGACTCAGACTACCCCTCTACCCACCCTCTTGGCTTAAGCCCTTCCTAGCCCCACTCCCTCCAGAGCCAAAGCCCATTCTTGCCTTTCAGGGGACAGAGAAGAAGGAAAACAAGTCTTACCCAGTCTTCAACACCCCTCTACCCTGTCCTACAGGGGGAAACTGAAGAAGAATTAATTGTTCCTCCCCCGTATAACCCCCCTAGGATGCTGGAAGAACACCATCCTCCCCCTCCGGGGGAGGCAGACACTGTTCGGAGAATGGGAGGTGGAAATGCTCCAGTGGGAAGCCCGCCCTTTACCAAAGGGCTCAGAGGGAGCAATCCGCCTCTGCCGCCAACTCCACTATTCCACCCCTGCAAGACACCGGACCCCCAGACGCGGAGGGGAATCAGCCCCATCACTATTGGCCTTTCGCCCCTAGTGACCTCTACAATTGGAAAGCTCAGAATCCTAAGTTTTCCGAGAAACCGGCTGGGCTTATTGATTTATTAGGCTCTGTTCTTTTTACTCATCAGCTCACGTGGGACGATTGCCAGCAGCTTTTGCAGGTCCTGTTCATGACTGAAGAAAGAGAAAGGATTCTCGATGAGGCCCGAAAACTAGTTCCGGGCGCAGATGGGAATCCCACCACCAACCAGGCTCAGATAGATGCCTCCTTCCCCTTAACTCGGCCCCAATGGGATTTCAACACGGCAGAAGGTAAGGAGAGGCTCCGGGTCTACCGCCAGAATCTAATGGGGGGTCTCCGAATGGCTGCTAGAAAGCCAACCAATTTGGCCAAGGTAGGAAATGTACAACAGGGAAAAGATGAATCTCCGGCTGCCTTTTTAGAACGGATCATGGAGGCATTCCGTACCTATACCCCCATGGATCCAGAGGCTCCGGAAAGCAAGGCAGCTGTTATCATGGCCTTTGTAAACCAATCGGCCGTAGACATTAGGAGAAAATTACAGAAAATAGATAGACTAGGAGAAAAAAGTCTGCAGGACTTACTGGTGGTAGCCGAAAAGGTATATAATAACTGGGAGCCTCCTGAGGACAAGCAGGCTTGCTCCATGGCGGCTGCCAGCAGTAAGCAGACTCGAGACCTGGCCAGAATACTACTAGCTACCACTGTTGACTCCCCCGAAGAACGAGACCGCCGTCTCCGGCAGCTGGCAGACGACACAAGAAAAGGTAAAGGAACTACCAAGGGGGGGAAGCAGAGGCTGAAGAAAGATCAGTGCACATACTGCAAGGAGATAGGGCATTGGGACCGAGATTTTCTGAAAAGGGCTGGCGGGAAGGGAAGCAAGACTGATCGAGTAAAAGTCCTAGAGTTGATGAACTGAGTGATTAGGGGAGTCGGGGTTCGGACCCTCTCCCCGAACCCAGGGTAACTCTTAAAGTGGAGGGGACCCCTGTTGACTTCCTCGTCGACACCAGAGCGCAACATTCGGTCCTCCGCACCCCACAAGGAAAACTAGCCAGCAAGAAGTCCTGGGTACAAGGGGCAACTGGTATGAGCCAGTATTCATGGACTACCCGAAGACTGGTAGATGTGGGGACGGGACGGGTATCCCACTCCTTTATGGTAATACCAGAATGCCCCTACCCGCTGTTAGGACGGGACTTACTGACCAAGATTGGAGCTCAGATAACTTTCAGACAAGGGGGGGCCTCAGGTCACCGATGGCAAGGGCCACCCCATCCAGGTCCTGACCATGAAACTGGAGGATGAATACTGCCTCCACTAGGAGGCGCTCCCAAGAGAAGATAATATAGACAGATGGCTACAAGAATTCCTTTCGGTTTGGGCAGAGACGGGGTGGGGGGGGTGGATAGGACTAGCCACTCACAGGACCCCGGTCCTGGTAGAGCTCAAGCCAGGAGAAAGTCCAGTAAGGATCAAACAATACCCCATGTCTCAGGAGGCCCAGAAGGGGATCCAGCCACACACATCCAGAGACTACAAAGCTTAGAGGTACTAGTTCCTTGCCAGTCTCCCTAGAACACCCCCCTACTGCTGGTCAAAAAGCCTCACACAAATGACTACCGACCGGTACAAGACCTCCGGGAAGTAAATAAGAGGGTCACGGACATACACCCAACTGTTCCCAACCCATATACTCTCTTGAGCTCCTTGGCGCCCTCCAGGGTCTGGTATACTGTACTAGATTTAAAGGACGCCTTCTTCAGTCTGCCGCTGGTACCCCAAAGCCAACCCTTGTTCTCCTTCAAGTGGCATGATCCAGAGGAGGGCTACAGTGGGCAACTCACCTGGACATGGCTACCTCAGGGATTCAAAAATTCGCCCACCATCTTCAACGAGGCACTACACGAGGACCTGGGTGAGTACAGAAGGGAGCACCCTGGCCTCACCCTCCTACAGTACGTAGATGACATCCTGATTGCTGCTGACACAGCCAAAGACTGTGAGCGAGAGACCCAGGACCTGCTGGCTACCCTGGGGGCCTTAGGGTACCGGGCATCTATGAAGAAGACTCAGATATACAGGGAGAGGGTAAGTTACCTGGGATATATCCTGGAGGGTGGACAGCGGCGGTTACCAGATGCCAGAAAAGAAACTGTCCTAAAGATCCCTACTCCACCTCCCGAAGAGAAGTAAGGGAATTCCTAGGATCGGCCGGCTACTGCTGCCTCTGGGTTCCAGGTTTTGCTGAGATCGCCAGGCCCCTATATGAAGCTACCAAAGAGGGGAAAACATTTAAATGGGCTGAAAAAGAAAAAACTGCCTTTAATCAGTTAAAAAAGGCCCTCCTAAGTGCCCCAGCCCTGGGCCTACCAGACATTACGAAGCCCTTCCCCCTCTTTGTAGACGAACATAAGGGAATAGCAAAAGGGGTTCTAACTCAAGCCTTAGGCCCCTGGAACCGCCCGGTGGCTTACCCGTCCAAGAAACTAGACCCAGTGGCTGCCGGCTGGCCACCATGCCTAAGAATTATTGCGGCGACACCACTCCTAGTCAAGGACGCAGACAAACTGACCCTAGGACAGGAGATCTGGATCACGACCCCACACGCCATTGAAGGGGTCCTGAAACAGCCTCCTGATAGATGGATGAATAACATACGTATGACTCATTACCAGAGCCTCCTACTCAACCCTCCACGGGTGCGGTTCCACCCCAGTGCAGGCTCAATCCTGCAACCCTGCTGCCCGACCCTGACCTAGGTGCTCCACTACATGACTGTGTGGGAATCCTGGAACAAGTACATGGATTCCGGACGGACCTGACCGACCGGCCCCTCCCCGATGCCGAGGCTACTTGGTTCACTGATGGCAGCAGCTTTGTGCGAGACGGACACAGGTATGCGGGTGCAGCGGTGGTCACCGAAACGGACACCGTATGGGCGGAGGCTCTACCCTCCGGAACGTCAGCCCAGTGAGCAGAGTTCATAGCCCTCACCAAGGCGCTGATGCTGGGAGCTGGAAAACGGCCCAACATCTACACAGACAGCCGTTATGCGTTTGCCACAGCTCATATCCATGGGGCAATTTATCAGGAGAGGGGGTTACTGATGGCAGAAGGACGGACTATAAAAAATAAGCAGGAGATACTTAACCTGCTTACGGCTTTATGGCTTCCTGCCAAGCTAGCCATTATCCACTGCCAAGGGCACCAGAAAGCTGATAACCCAGTAGCTAGAGGTAATCAAAAGGCTGACCAGGCAGCCAAGGCAGTAGCCCTTACTTCAGTCCCCATCATGACCATACAACTACCGGACCCGGGAGACCCGGTTTTACCAGCCCAGCCCAAATACTCCCAGGAGGAGTTACAGCGGATCAAGAAACTCCCCATGGCCCAGGAGATAAAGGGATGGTGGTATACACCTAACAAGGAGCTCGTGCTGCCAGACCAGCTCGGAGTCTCAATATTAGAGCACATGCATCGGTCTACTCACATGGGGGCCCGAAAATTAAAAGACTTAATCCGACATGCCGGAATCAAGATTCGCCAACAGGACGCCAAAATAGAGCAAGGTGTAGCTGCCTACAAGACCTGCCGACTCACCAACGCGAGAGCCACATCAAATAAAAAAGGAACCAGGCTCAGAGGCACCAGACCGGGAGCCCAATGGGAAGTCGACTTCACTGAAGTCAAACCAGGAAAGTATGGTTATAAATATCTTTTAGTATTTACAGGCACCTTCTCTGGCTGGGTGGAGGCATACCCAACCAAGCATGAAACGGCTCAGACGGTGGCTAAGAAGCTACTAGAAGACATCTTACCCAGGTATGGTTTTCCTGCCATGGTAGGATCAGACAATGGACCAGCTTTTATCTCGCGGGTAACACAGGCAGTAGCCAAGGCGGTGGGGGCAAACCGGAAATTACATTGTGCTTATAGGCCCCAGAGCTCAGGACAGGTAGAAAGAATGAATAGACCCTAAAAGAGACCCTTACCAAATTAACCATGGAGACTGGCGGGGACTGGGTGACTTTCCTACCGTACGCCCTTTACCGGGTTAGAAACACTCCTTACACTCTGGGTTTTACTCCCTACGAGATCATGTTTGGCAGGCCACTCCCTATTATTCCCAACCTTCTTGCTAAGTTTAAAGATCAAGAACTTTTTCTTTCCTTGAGAGGGCTCCAGAGGGCGCACGAGGACATTTGGCCACACCTCTGTGCCAACTACGAGGCTGGCCCAACCCCGACACCTCATCAGTACAGGCTGGGAGACTGGGTCTACGTCAAGAGGCACCAGTGAGAGACCCTCGAGCCGCGTTGGAAGGGACCCTACATCGTGGTGCTGACAACCCCCACCACTCTCAAAGTAGACAACATCGTGACCTGGCCCATCACACCCACGTTCGGCCAGCGGACCCCTCCTCGATCCGGAAGGACTTCGTCACGCGATGGGCTGTCAATTGGGACCAACACAACCCGCTCAAGCTCCAGTGCATTCGACCCACCTAATATTAGTAACTCTGTTAACTCTGCTTGTCATCAGACATGCTGCCGGGAGTCCCCACGCCCTCCAAAACATCACCTGGCAGATCATAGATACCAGCTCGGGTACAATACTTAATCAGACCTCCCAGAGCCACCCCAGGGACACTTGGTTCCCAGAACTTTGCGTAGACTTCCAAACTCTGTTCCCCTTATCACCATGTGCCCCCGGATTAAATGCAGCCGGTCCCATGATTGGGTCCGCAAGCTAGATGACAAGGAGGGAATGAAAGGGCGGACCTACGCCGGCTGACTCCATCTTGTTCTGTGTCCTCCACCTTGAGTGACTATGTCCCCAACATGCCCCCTTTCCGGGAAAATCGCAGAAACCTCAGACCGCACCTCCTCCCCTTGAGTAACTTCCCGATCAAAACACGCCCAGCGACCTGCGTAACAGGACTCCGACCCTTCCCCAGCCAATCAGCTGAGGCCACAGCCATTACCTCACCAACCGCCCCTAGACCCCTATAAAACCTTTGTGCTTTTGAAACTCGCTCTCTCTCTCCAGTATCTCACCGCTGTGTCGGTACAGGTAGGGGACTGAGCTCGAGCTAGCTCGAATAAAGGCTCTTTTGCTTTTGCATCGGACTCAGCTCCCTGGTGGTCTTTGGGGATCACGAATTCTGGGCATAACAGCTACTACCTCAATGAATCAGGCTTAGTTGAAACCAATATAAAACACCTAAAGGAAATCCAAAAAATTCTATCCGCCCACCCAGGATCCTCAGACCCCCTAATCTCCTGGTGGCAATCACCCCTCTTAACTTGGCTCCTCCCCATAGTCACCCCACTAGTTGCTATCTGTGTAATACTTATGCTCTTACCTTGTTTTCTCCATTTCGTACAAAAACGAATGCACGAAGTTTCCCAGGTCGCATTTCATCAGATGGTGGTCCGGTCCTATTCCCTCATTCCACCTCAGACCCCACATACTATGGCGTCACCCTTCCACCCACGGGAAGCAGCCAGATCAGATCCGTCGCCCATTATCACCAATAAGAGGTTGGAATGTTAGGATGTCCCTGGAAGGGGACAGCCCTCTGGCCAGCGCGCCGGAAGAAACTGAAGGGCGACCAATCACCGAGCGCCAGCACAACCCAACGAAGAGCCCCGAGCGGCTCTCCAGAAGGAACTGAAGGTCAACCGATTACCGAGCAACAGCACGACAAGGCACGAGAGAAAGACCCACCCGAGCCTAAACCCGGAACTGCTACAGCTTAAAATCGCTACCCCACCATACCTGGGCGCGACTTCCCTGACTCCCTCCTTGAGCGACGGAACCTCGCCCGGAACCTTAGTTCCCAATAAAGCCTTAAACTGCAAAAATTCTTTTTGACTCTAACTCCTATCTTTACGCCGCACAACGCCTGACACTAACAATGGCAACAATCACCTCCCAGTGAAAGAGTTGAGGCCCCTCTCACTACTGAAAAAGGAGTGCCCTTATCTCTAATGCTCAACAAGGGCTCTAGTTTCATGAATTTGGTGAAATATATCTTGCTGGTTTGGTGGATGAGAAATTACACCAAATCCATTGTCCTATTTTCATTTTTCTAATGATGAGTGAGGCTAGATGTTCATCACTTACAGCCATTTCCTGAATCTAGTCACTGTTCTCAGTTTTGGGGTGAACCTGCTGAACACACTCTCCTGACATCCCCAGAGGACACAGACTGTGACCCACGTCCAGCCAGGAAACTTCACTCCTTGTGAAACCACTAAGCTGTTAGTGACTGCCTTCTAACCAACGGAACACAGAGTGATAGGAGGTCAGTTTCAAGATTTCATGACACAAATTCTGTCGTTCCTTCTTACTTGCTTTGTCTTGTGTTCCACCTCTTTCTATGTCTCTCTACCTCTCTCTCTCTCTCCCTCCACTCTCCATCCTCATTTCTTCCCTCTGTCTTTCCTCTACCCCTGGAAATGGGGAAACAAGCACTTAAGTTAAGTACTACCCTGTGAGAAACCTATATAGGAGAGAAACAAGTTCCCAGGTCAAAACATTGAAATAGGCTCTCAGTTCAAACTGAATTCTGACATTGCCTGGGTGGGTGACCTTGGAGTAAAGTATCACCCTGTTGAGTCTCAGATGAGACCACAGCCCTGGCTTCATAGAGACTTTGAGGCAGTGCCATGCAGCTAGGCTGTGCCTGGATTCCTCTCCCACAACAATTGAGAGTTATTAAATATTTGTAGTTTTAATATTTAAGGTATTGGGATAATGCTATTAGATAGGAATGACTAACTCATGGTCTACCAGGTCCCAGCATCTGGCCTATCCTCTGCTTCCCCCCTGCTTCTCCCCTCCCACAATCCCACAGCCACACTTTCCACCTTTCTTATGTTTTCTGGACAAACTCAATTCTGTCTCCTATTATCGGCACCAGCCATATCTTCTCCCTGAAACACTGAAGGCATGTGCAGGATGGTTCCTTCTTGCCATTCTAGCCCCAGCACATGTCACCTCAGTGAGGCCTCTCACACCCTCCAGTGACTCCCCAGTCTCATACCCTCCAGTGAGTCATTATTTTTCACTATTACAGGTCTTGCCCTTTTTTTCACATGTCTTGTCTTTCATACCTTTGTTCATCTCCCCTCCAGACTGTGAAGACCTGGCAGGCAGGGACCCCTTTGTCATTGTAAGCCTTGCACTTAGGCCCACCAGATCCCCCAGCACAAGGTGAGTGCTTGGAGCAGTTACTGAATGAATAAACGGAAGGGTCATGGAGCACTCCATCTAGATTTTGAACTGCTTATTCTATGGAGATAATTGTTGGTAATAGGAGATCCAAATTACGTCTGAGGCGGGAGAAATCCAGAGTTATCTCTGCATGAACTTTCCCTGGTTCACTTCCTCCAGCAAAACTCAGTGGGAACCACGGACACAGGAGGCTGCCTGTTTCCTGGCGTCCAGCAATAGCACTGGAGCCACAGGCATGAAGATATTCAAACAAAATCATCACCCTTATGTGGCCGCCATGAAGGCAGTGGTCCTATGAGGTCCCAGGGTAAATCTCGGGACCTACAGCCTCCAGAGCTGTGCAAGGGATCCCAGGATTCTGCCATTACCTTTCTCATCCTAGTCCCAGTGTATACTTTTTACTCATGAGGCATCCTCATGTCAGCCAGGACAATGACCCCCCCCCCATTTCCCAATGAAGACCCTGGGGGGTCTAGCAAGAACTGTTATTTTACGTGGACTCTATACTCAGTGTATAGTGTTCTGACGCGTCTTTCCCTATCCCAAGTCTTCACCAACCTAAATCCCCAAGCCTCTCTAGGCTCTAAAAGGCTTCCAGAAAGTATAAACACAGTGAGTCACTGATGAAGAGCCAAGGCCGATTGACACTTTATGATTATATGGAACTCTGAAGAAAACCACAGGTAACACAACACTATACAGGAGAACACGGAAGCCTTTTCTTCTGTAGCTATTATCTAAACTAAGGGGAGTTAGTTAATCATAATTCCAGGTGCCCACAGAGTTTGAATGCAGTACTCTAGTCCTTTCCTCTGGAGGCTGGGCCAAGGATAGTCCTGCATCCAGCAGAAACCTATGAACTTCAAGCATTCCTTGCCTATCTTTGGGCATTTGAGCATGCAGCTATGAAAATGGATGCTGCTGCCCCATGACAGAGCTCCCTCTAACCTCTTTATTATTTCTCTCGTGTCATTTCCCCGGTGTCCACTCTTTCTTGAACACACGTTCAGTATGTGTGTGCCAGTGCACATGTAGGGATTTGGACAGTAAAATGACCCCAAATGGAGAGCAAGTAGGCACGATTCCTCCCAGAATATTAGAGTCTCTCATTTCTAAAGCAAACATGATGGGAGGGGGTTGAGCCATGGCCTAAAATGGCAGAGCCCAGCCTTACCCTCTGGACTCTTCCCACCTCCTGTGATCTGATCCAGTCCTATTCTTTTGGTAAGATCAGTCACCCCACTGTACAATGTGAGATTGGATACATAACTACAAAAGCCAGTTCTCAAGAGGGTGTGATGTCAGACTCCA